CCCCAAAACCCCAAAACCCCAAAACCCCAAAACCCCAAAACCCCAGGGTGGGAAATTAATATTAGAAGTTAATAAAAATATTTTATCAATATGCAAAGTTGGGAGTGAGTGATTATCCAGCCCCAAGTTGAGGATTATAAGTGGGGGAGATTAGGTGCTAGGTTAGGTTTAATAGAGATAGGATCTTTTGAAACAAAATTAAAGGGTTGATGTGTGTGGGAGAGGAGATAATTATTGATGGGGTTATAATGATCTGGATTTTTATCATTAGAAGAGGGTTCTGGCTCCAATCTGTATATCTCTTATTATCTGTCATTATCAGGAGTTATTATTAGACTTCAGTGTGTCTCATAAATGAAGTTGGGTTTATTCAAAGCATACCACCTCCGATTTACACTTTGAGTCCATACCATTGTACCAAGATACAATTTAAAGGATTTTTGAATTTCCTCTGTTTTATCTCCAAGGCTAGTCCGGACTCTGGACTGTATCGTAAATAAAGTTTATCCCTTCTCAAAACTTTGAGAAACAAAATAATAAAAGTTTTACAGTTTCCCATGAGTTAATAAAATGTTAACAAAATTAATTCTTATCGTTCCTAACTAGGAAGGAAAAAAGAAAAACAGAGCCTTGAGGTTAAAGCTTTCTCGAACATGTGTATCTTCTGCTTAGTCTTAATGCAGAATAGGTCAAGATTGCTCGCATTCAACATTTTTGATGAATTATTTTTAGCAAAAGTAAACACTTGGATATCAATGTATCTCTGAGCTCAAAAATTTATCGTTCTTTTGGCTCCCGGCTACTGCTCATATAATAAGACTGGACCTCTTATTAAGTGCTTAATTCAGGCTAGTCATTCTTGGAGCATAGATATGATCTTTTAGTGGCTGGTCAAGGATTAAAGTGCACAATTATTGTTATATCCAGGAATTAGAAGAAATCCTATCTAAAAATTAACCAGAGCATAAATTTTTAAAGATAGATTGATTACATTATCAAATTTTCTCCTAAATTAAGAAGATATTCTTTTCCCAAGCAACAATGATATTCTATCGTCTAGAAGGCGACCCCAACATAATCATACAAACCTGATCTCTCATAAAATCCATCCTCAACATAACACTTAGTAGCCAATCAACACATAAAACACGTGCTGAAATTGCAAAAATCAAGCTCACAGCCAATTTGACACCCAAACACTACACTAAATCATAAGTTTCTCTCTAAATTGGAGCACCTTGGCTTTCTAATGCTGACCTCTGTCCTCAGCGCATCCAAGGAAGTCCAAAGTCCAAGTACAAATCTTCAGAGGCTCTAGCTAAAGCCACTGTAATGGAAGCTAAAGATGCACGAATAAAATTAAACTCTTCAGAGTATGAATAAGCGAAAGACTAGTTGTCCAATTGTTAACAGTTCAAATTAGGTAATAGGCCTCATGTCTCTTATTTCGAATCATTACACATCTGGTGCATCTTAGTAGTAGCAATTAGGAGGCCATTCATCATTCTTAAAAATCTGTTGTAACTTTCTGAATCTACTCCCTACAAAAGTAGGGACTCTCGGTTTAAGATTTCTACTTTCACATTGGTCTATAGGGGTCAAAACAACTAGATTACCCAAGAGGCTTAAGCACGGGTTGATATATTTCTTTATCTTCGAATGACTTTGAAAATGAGGATCTATGTTTTTCTTCACATATCTCCTTGATTTTTTCTTATTCTTTTTAGCCCTCTTAGATTTCTTCTTTTCTTTAGATTTTGAAATTAGTCCAAGATCGATTTCAGGCTTAATAACATCTACAAATCTGATTGAAATATCTTTGCCAATGTTTTTCTTTACAAACTTTTTAGCTGTCTTCACTTTATCTAAAGATGCCTCATGCATCCTTATCTTGACACTACTATATCTTGGAGCAGAAAGGGCATTAAACAAGCGCTCAAATCCTTCATTCTCAATATGCGAAGCTCCTATCCTGACACTAATACGAGTGATATTTTGTTTCTCCAGAAGTGAGTTTATAGAAGCTAACATAGCTTCATCATTGATTCTATAACCATCCAAGTCAAGTTCTTCCAAATTAAATCTATCTAAAACTTCAAATAGTGCATGCCTGCTTTCTATATGAGCATCATTTTGAAGACAAGGTCTTTCTATTTCAATCCAAACCTTGAGAGGCTTGTGAAAGACTTGCAACTTTTCATGAGAGTCGGATTCACCTAAGAATGGATAGGAAACTTTTGATTTCAATTCTGACCATTTCTGAAATGAATCTTCAGAAAGTTCAGCATCTTCATCATAATCTAGTTTGAGAGTTTTAACTTCTTGCAAAGGAATAAAAACTGAGATATCTCCAATAGGAAGCTTTACTTCTTCAAGATCAGTTGGAGAAACTTCTTCAATCCCTTCTCATTCAAGAGAACAAATGTTAGATTGTATAAAACCCTGGTCTACCACAAAGTCTGAGGTGAATTTACCTGAAAAGTTAGTGAGTTTCATAACCTTCCTCTTGAGTCCTATATGAGTTAAATACAATATCTTTCTTTGCTAAAACTAAAAACGATTTAAATTTTATTATGGCCAGAGACTCCTGACAAGTTGATCGGCATATCTCAAGAAAAACTATTGGGCAAACGATTATGATTAAATTCACATCCTAATTCAAATTCATTTCTCTAAGAAAGCAGAGCATTAATTATTGTATATTTCGTACCATGTTCGTCCTTAATTGTTAAATAGCACCTTCCTCCAACGACCATGTTTTTAGGTTTTGAACTTCCTAGTAGAACCTCCAGTGATATGGCCACTCAGTGATTTTTAAGGTAATGAAAGCAGCTAGATATGAATTCCAGAGCTTTCAATGCTTCTTCATATCCGATGTCACTCCCTCCAAGTCGATACTTTAATTTGACTTTGGGTATTTTCAGATCTTTCTTTTCCACTCAACTTTTATGGTTCTCTACCAGTGCGAATAATTGTGTAAAGCTTTTCTTGAATTGATCAAGAGTCATAGCTTCATCACTATTATGAACCTCAGGTAGTTTAATTATTAACGCACAACGCTCAAATCTACGGAATAACATTCGAGGAGGCATGAATTCTAAATCTTCGATGAAATAGTCCCATAAGTCTTCGACAGAAAAGCCATTCGGATACTGTAACACTGAGATACATTCTTCTTCAATAGAGAGACTGCCATTAAAATTATCTCCGCATATTGCTAAGTCCTCTGTTCTCATGATAGGCTGAATCATTGCTGTGCAGTTAATGTAAAAAGGTTTTGGGAATCTATAACATGTGCGATCATCTTCCCGGATTCGCCTCACATCTTTACCCAATATTCTAGTAATTTTAAGCAAAAGATCTAGTTGCTTTATCTGATCTATCTGTGTTTCTTCATTAAAGCAATAATGATTTTCTTTAAAATAAGACCGAATCACCGAGAGTGATAATGTCTTGAGATTGATTCTTTTGAGGAAATCACGAAGAACTCCAAGCCCTTCTATAGCTTCCCTGTAGTCGAAATCAAAAGCCAGAAGGTACAGTTTGTAGTCATTAGAAACCATCAATCTTTTTAATTCTGAGACTTCTTGGTAATCTCTAGTTGACCCTAAAGATTTTGCTAAGTTTCTGATCTTTAATTCTCTTTTCGGGAGGTGGAACTTTACGACTCCATGCTCATCTGTGATGGGTGTAAGAAATGCATCTTCTTCGGAGAACCAGAGACTTCTTGATTGGGACCTTAGCTGTGTCATTAGGATCTTGCACTCATCTGCCCAGCCGAAATAAGGTAAGATTTTCAATACTAGAGGCACAGTTGTCAGAAACGCCTTGCTCACAATATTTGAGGGCGAAGGAGCCTTGGTCTCCTCAAGATGGAGGGATACTTGACTTTCCATTGTTGATAAATTATATATTTCCACTTCTTGATATAATCCTGGGGTTTTGGGGTTTTGGGGTTTTGGGG